AACTAGGTAAGGCAGGGTAACAGTGTGATCCTGTTTAAAGTTATATAAATTACAATCAGGGTATCTGCATTATTATGCAAAATGAACAACACACAAGGGCTAATGAGCAACTAGGACCCACTAAAGTACATAGCAAAGCAAGGCAACATTATCAGGGCATGATTGCATAGAAGAAAAAAGGGGTGTCAGAGTTCAAACTGACACACATATAGTTATCTAAGGCAAAGTGGTGGCAAAGAAGAGTTACTTGTTCCGCATTATATAAACAAGAGCAGAAAATTCATGGGAACCCATGCAAAAGCATCGTATGTCACACAGATTTCTCCGGTTGCCTACAGGGAATATAAACACTCATCTTCATTGTAAAGCGTGATTGTACCTGTGCTCATACCCTGAACTAAACCAAGGAACAGCTCCATGCTAAACCTCCTTGAGTAATATACAACCAGTACTATTACTCCTAATCAGACTAATAAATAGAACATCTTTTAATGAATTAGATGGCTGTTTAGGTTTCCTTCAGGATTTACTTTTTTTGGATTCTCCTGCTTTAAGACCCAAAGAAAGTTATATTGAGTTTTTATTGGTGATTCTAAGTATATGTGTTTATAACATTTAAAGTGTGATAGGTGAATTTAACATATTAAAAGTTTTATAGCATCTGTTCAGAAAAGATTATATACTATACAAACTATTCCAGTCATACAAAACCATTTTTCAGTGTCTTTTCAACTGAGAAGAATCCTATTCAGCATGCTTCTCCTCCTGAGGTGGTTCATACTGAGCAAGCTATGGGGCAAAGACAGAGGAGTTTAGGTGAATTTTATTCTAAATTGGGTAAAAATCTTAACAAAACAAAATGAGACTGTATTCAATTTAGTTATTGAATCAGTAATCAGTTTCTGTACCTATGCGCTTACACCATTCAATAATTTAAGATTTAATACAAACATAATGAAAGCCCTTTTCAGATAACCTTTTATATTATTGGGAAACTATAATTTCAGTTGATGGCTCAATTGTTCAAATGCTTGATAGGCAATAATATTTATCTTCCCAAAGATGTTGTAGCTTATGGTAAGGAACTTTCTTTTTCTCTACCAAAGGTTTACTATAATTTCCCCTAAAAAAGTAGAGGAAAGGGGTTATATACCATATTATATACCATATATGAGCATCAATGAAAACTAATGTCTTTGACTTAAAAGGTGCCAAAGAGTTAACTAGCACTTCCACATTGTGGAATCTTAGATAATTTAGGATATTTCTTTTAGACTAAGTTCTGAATCCTTACAAGAACACTTAAGCTAGGATTTCAGTTCTTCCAATTACCTGTCAGACTTGAAAAGCTTATTAAATTCACTGTGCTCTAGTTTCCTCACCTATATGATGGCCTGTGTACCTGTTTCACATTTCTCACAGAATTGTTGAGAAGATAAAACACATTATGAGCAACACCTACAGTATCATAAAAAGTATTATGTGATTCAACTTCCAAGACTTAGAGTTGACAATTTGAAGTTTATGAAAATTCCCATGGGTGTTTAAACAAAGAAAAAAACTTCTGCACTATATAAAACTGAGTGTAATTCTTTATATTTGTTAACCCAGGGCCACCACATGAAACAGCATAGACTGTGCGCTGCACAGCAGTAGGAGGTGCCATGTACAAAGGAGTGGCCCCACTGACCTAAACTGATTAAGAATTTGGAACCACCCATTTGCTTACAACCAGCATTAACCAATTATTTCCATCTTTTTGTTGATGCAGGTTCCCAAAAACCTCTTCTTAACCACACTTTGTCCTGTTTATAGTTTTCTTGTAATTTTTTTAGATGGGATCTAACTTTGCCTTGCACTTGATTCAGATTGTTATCTGCCCTCTTCCTTCCTCGGCTGTCCATTTTAGTGGTGCTTTCATCAGTTAATCAGTAGAAGTAAAATTATTTTTAAAATTAATTCCTTTAAAAAATTTACCTTTGCTTTCAGTTTTTTATTTTCTTCTATAGTAGCTTCATATTTCTCTTTCATTTCTGCCAATTCTAGGCGAAGCAGCTCAATTTCTGGATTTTCTGGGGTACCAGCTCCTAAGTGATGCTTTAAAAAACTATAATCAATGTTAAGAATTTAATTCTTAGAGATGAATGAAGCTAATGAAGAGGCCCAGAGTAGCATTAATATTCCTGACCAGAATTCACCCCCCCTCAACCATCAATATTTACTCAAAGATGATCATCCAGAAACTCAAAGGAAACCTTTTCTTTTTTTTTTTTTTTTGTACCAAGGATCAAATTAGGGTCCTTGAGCTTTGGAGGCAGGTGGCGGAACCACTGAGCTAAATCCCCAGCCTATAATAACCTTTTCAATAAGCAAAACTATTTTAAAGGTTACTACCTATGTGGAAAAATAAGAATTTCAAAAATAAGGCCTTTTTCTGATTCCAAAGATGAAAAGGATACTCCAAAGCACTATTAGGTTTCTCTGGTTCTTCATATAAGGCTACCAACACTGCAAATCAAAAAGCAGAAAAAGGAACAATTAAAAATCTTAAATGTGAATTCCTGAAATTATATTTCATAACTCAGTAAATATTAAGCATCTACTGTACACCACGCATATTGCTGCAACCATCCATGTAGTGGTGAACAAGACAGACAAGGTCCCTGCTCTCAATGAATTTATAGGCCATTTACAAAGAATAAGCAAGGAGCTAGATAAAGAGTATGAAGAGCAACATTGGATAGTAGGTTACTGGAGCACATTGGAAGAATACTTAACTCAGCCTAGGGCATCAGAGAAGGCTTCCTAAAGGGAGGGAAAGATCTGAGACTAATAATGAGTGTTTTGGATAAAATGAGAAGGCCCAGGGGACAAGAGAACAACATATTGAGGCATCAACATTTCAATATAGCTGCATGGAATTGTGGATAATGTGGCCAGAAAGGTGGTTAGGGGCCAGACTGGAGGTCATGCAAATTTGGCTGGACTTTGATCCTAAGGACAACAGACGATAAAACGGTTTTAAGCAGAGGAGTGATAGGATCACTCTGCCTGCTGTGTGGAAGACTTAAGTGAGACAAGGATAATGGCAGGAAGAACATTAGAGGCTAATATGGTGACCCAATTAAAAAAGATAGTGACCTACACTCAAGTGATACAGGTATGGAAAAAAAGAAAGATGAAAAAATTTAGGAGAGAAATTAGCAGGGCTATGGTAATTACTGGGAAAAGGTTCCAATTCAAAATGTTTAAGAATGAAGTTTCACATATGTGTTAAATAACCACCAACCACTTTACAAGTAATCAACATGCTCAAATCCACATTAAAATTGTGTCTGTGTATGTGTAATTTCTTATCTGTTAGCTCATGTGAGCACTCCCTTGTCTTCTGTTAAACAAATTACTCCTGGAATTTACTGTTCAGATAAATCTCTCTAAACCAATGGTTAACCATTGTGCGTGGAAATTTGAAAAACTTGACAATGTAAAAAATATAACTACACATAAAAACTGTGTACGTGTAGGTTCCAAAGAAGTCCTAAACCAATTTACATGTATTCCTTTTTTTATAGTTTTAATAATTTAAAATAATATAGGCAGTATTAAAGAATCAGATGGGCAACTACTTTTTAACAACTTACATTGAAATATATACACAGCATTGGTTTTTTTTGGTTTTTTTGGTACCGGGAATTGAACTCAGGTCCTTGCGCTTGTGCAGCAGGCGGCAAAACCAGAGCTAAATCCCCGGCCCCACAGCATTGTTTTTTGAGAAATTGGTGTTTTATACCACCATCTTCACTCACACCACCCTTCACTCTCACCCAATGTCTGTTACAATATGTTTATCCCTCTGTTGCTTACATTTTTTTAAATTATATGCTCAATCAAGCCTGTTTCTTCATTTCTACTGAATCCTAATTTCGTAAGATTTGGATATTAATATTTTTTCCCTTTCTCCTTCTCTTCTCCTACCCCATTCCTTTCAGCTTCTAAATGTCTTCCTTCAGTCGTACTTACAAGGTTGATAATTGCACAACATAATGTAAATGTTCAGTTTCCTGTGCTTTTCTATAGATGAATATACTTCCTTTTAATCAGATGAGGAGAACTCCATACTCAGTAATGTTCCCCTTTTTTGCCTTAGCAGCCAGGGTTTTTAAAAGTTGATACAGTGCTCAAAATAACTAAAATGCCATTCTCCCAAATGATTTGTAATCTTTAATTTTAGCCATCCTCTTTCAGTGCTTTAGTGTTATAATCAGTTTCAAATCCTTTTGGCAATAGCAGCATAAAAATACAGAATTGTTAAGGTGCCTATATTTAAAGCTGAAAATCAAATTTCCATACATATCAATAAGTATTATGTTGTCTGGTACTGTAACAGAGGCTGGAAATCTAAGGATGTTAGGGGTTAAGATTCCTGTAGATGTGTGCAAAGGATAAGAAGCCTCCAGGGGTTTCTGATCTCTCCTGAAGGCTTTTTTTCTTTCTTTTTTTTTTTTTTTAGACAAGGTCTCACTATGTAGTTCAGGCTGGCCTTGAACTCACTATGTAGTTCATGCTGGCCTCAAACTTGCAGTGATCTGCTTGCCTCAGCCTCCCTAGTGCTGGAATTACAGGCATATGCCACCGGGCCTGGCACTGTGAAGGAATTTTTAAAAGGAATTTCTTTTTTTTTTTTTTTGGTAAAGGGGATCAAACTCTGGTCCTTGTGCTTGCACAACAGGCAGCGAAACCACTGAGCTAAATCCCCGGCTGTGAAGGAATTTTTGTATGGCCCCAAGGCTGTGCATCTTGTCTGTAGTCACTTATCTCTTGCAACTGTCACTATCCTGCCTGTAACCATTCCAGCTTTCACTCCAGCCACTCTGGTCTTATACAAATTTAGTATCCCTTATCCAAAATATTTAAGACAAGAAGTATTTTAGATTTTGGATTTTTCTAGACTTTTTAATATTTACATATATATGAGATATTGGGGGATGACAATTCATTTATGCTTCATATACACCTTATATACAGGATTTCTAGTGCACCTCCATTTTGACTATGACATGTCATGCACAGTTAGGTGTGGAATTTTCCACCTTTGGCATGTCTGCTCAAAAATTTCAAATTTTAGAGCATTATGGATTTCAGATTTTCAGATTAAGGATGCTTAACCTGTATTTCCTGAAACTCTTGACACCATACACTATCACATTCAGATACGTGCTCTAAAGAAAACCCCTCCCAACACTCTACATAAAACGCCACACACTATCCCCTAATCTTGTTAGGTTTTAGTCACTGATGTGTACCACTAGCTGACACGGTGTGTTTCCTTATTATCCCTTTCCCCAACTAGGATGCAAGCCCATGGCTGTTATAGGAATTTTTTTTTTTTTTTTGAGATAAGGTCTTGCTAAATTGCCCAGGCTGAGCTCAAACTTGCAATCCTCTTGCCTCAGCCTCCCAGAGTGCTGGTGCACAGATGGGCACCACCAGGGCCTTTTTTCCCCACAGTCCCCAGCCTTAAGACAGATACCTAAATAAATTGGTTAAATGGGAGAAATGAATGTGTGGGGTTTCTTCAGGAAATAACATTCCAAGCATGTATTTGGCTTTCACAAAGTAGTTCCTACATTTTTGCAAAAAGTTATCTGCAAAAACATAGTACCGTATCCGATCCCAAAGTAGGTAGCAGTTGAAAGTAGGTAGCCAGCCCATCCATGCATGGGAACTTAAAGCCCTGTTTTCTAAGATCCAAGATATGTTCTCCCAGCCTTTTCCCCTAACCTTTGTTTCTGCCCGCAGAGCAGTTACGAAATTATTCCTCAGACACTTCCTATTCTCATATAGACCCAGGTCCTTGTCTCTGCCAGCAATTCCATTTAACACCCTTGAAAAATCCCAGCCATTGTGTTAACACACCAGACATTCAAATTACTGCTGAATTCATGAAGCGAGGAACACTCCACTATTTCTTGGAATACTCTAAGCAGCTTACTTGTTTACATCTTGAACACAGGGAGAGAAATACAATGTAACAATAAACTTCGCGGGGGTGGGGGAAGTACTGAGGATTGAATGAACCCAGGCCCTTCCCACTGAGCTACATCCCTACCCCTTATTTTTTGAGATAGGGTCTCACTAAACTGTTGTCCTCCTGCCCCAGCCTCCCAAAGTGCAGGGATTACAGGCGTGTACCACTGTGCCTGATGTAAGTTTCTATTATTAAAGTGTGAACAATATAACCATTTTGATACTCCTTCAAGTCTTTAATTCTCCTTTACGAAGTCCACACAACCTAGGAACTGCTATAGACGGGGACTGAAAAGCCACAGCCAATATGTCTATTAATCGTCTACTCTGGGATTAGGCTACTCGGCTACTTTGGTAATTTTCCAAACTTGGGAGACTTGTTCCTTAATATTCTAAGGACTCTGCAAACCTGTAAGACAAGGAGGGCTTGTTTAAGCTCTCAAAATCATACCCTCTGCGGCTGCTCAAGGCAAAGCAACGAAAGTTGGAGGGACTTTGCAACAGCTGCAAGAGTTTCTTCACTCCCGGCGCAGAGAGCGGTAACGTGAACGTGGCTACCCCGCCGGGCAGCGTCCGACAGCCTGCGCAAGCCGGTCCCCGCTGACCCCGAGCCCCACTCCGCGGGATCCTCGGCTGCCTTCCCCGCCCCCCTCTCCTTGCGCACGCCACAGCCCGTCAGGGTAGCCGCGCTCAGAAGCACCAGAGCACAGGGTACCCTCTCCTGGGCCATGCTCACCCTTGGTCAGCGTGTCCAGCACCCCCGACTTCTCCAAGTACCTCCGGAACTGCTCGCGCTTCGAGTCGGCGGCCTGAGGAGACACCGCGGGTCAGTGACCGGAGCCCGGGGGCCAGAGCAGGAAGAAGGCGCTGGGAGTCCAGCAACCCCGCCTCCGCTTCTCAGCCTTAGGCCCCCAAAACCTGCGCGCGCCCCCAACTCCCTCCCGGAGCCGACCAGCGGCTGGCTACCGCCCGTACTCCCCCAGCCACGCCGCGCCCCTCTCACTTTGTAATGGGCCATAGTGACAGGGGCAACGGCGTAGCTGGCGCCGGAGACCGTGGCTGGCGGGCTCGGAGCACCACTGCTCATGCGCAGAAGGGCCCGCGCGCCTGCTCACTTGCGAGCCACTGGCCGGGCCGCGCTCGCCGGGGTGTGGCCTGTTTTCATGGCGACCGGGACGCTCTGAATCCCCCACGGCTGGTCGAGCCAAGGGAGGCTGCGTACGCCCGCCCCTCTAGCTGTCGGAATACAGTAGAACCTTTCCTTCCTTTTCCGGTTCTGTGTTGGCTCAGTTACTAGGCGAGAAGCAAGGTTTTGTTAACGTTGCACTAGTGTCCAGGGTTGGCCGAGGTGGGCATGGTGGCCAGGGTGGGGCCCGGGAGACTACTCTTGCTGGAGGGTGGATTTCCCCAAATGGTAGTGGCCACACTTCTCAACTGGGACCTTGGAAGCTGTACCGATCTATAAGTGCTGGGGTTTTTGGCTCTCGTCCGGAAAAAGGCACCACAGACGCAGGGCGCCTCTTGGATTTACAATGGCTTGAGAAGTGTTTCGAATCATTTATGTTCTGTGGCTTATTTGAAGTGAGCTGGACTTGGAGGGTGAGCAGTTCAGTGCTAATAAAAGCTAGCACTTTTGAGCGCCCCTGTGTGCCAGCAGCTGTGCTAAAGATAAGGGTTTTTTTATTTTAATCTTCACAGCACGCCTGAAGGTTTTAGAAACTGTAATCACTTGTATTTTCCTGCGGAGCAGCTCCAGTGCTTTCCATCAAAAAAGCCTGTAACTATTCATGTAAAATAATGACCCGACCTCCTAGGATCTGACCTCGACTTATCTTTGTGATTGATTTTCCAGAACAGTCTAAATTTCGGACACATACCCTCTTCTACTAGCCCATGCGCCAGATCAATGTGCCCCACCATTTGAGTTGGAGAAGATGGGTGCAGTACCTCTAGTTCCTTTTTTTACCCGTTATGTTTCTCTGGGTCCTCTTCTCTTCTCCAAAGTCTTCAAAGATCATAAGTCATTTATGCATTTATCTTTTTTTCCAAAAATTTTGATTCAATCAATGGCCTTGTGCACAAACTCTAGCACTAAGCTACATTGCCCACCCGTGTTAAGTGTATTTTAGTCCATCTGTTTTCCTAAAGGCCGTAAAGGAGATTTACAATAGGAGTAGAAAACTAGAAATTGAATATTAGGTCCAAACTGGTCAAGGTAACTCATGCCTGCAGTCCTACACTTGGAAGGCTCAGACAGGAGGATCGCTGAGAGTTCGAGGCTAGCCTGGGCTACATAGTGAGTTCAAGGCCAGCCTGAACTACATAATGAGACCCTCTCTCAAACTAAAGTGATGAGGTTGCATGACCAGTGAATAGTACAGCCAAGAAAAACTTCTTAGTAGGATTGTTGCAAGTTTTGACAAACTTTGAACAATTCTGCCAAAGCATCAGGAGTGTTTAATATCAAGAGATTGAGAGTCTTCCTGTGAAGGAGGAGGGGTTCTGACTGTACCCTCTGAACTGACCCTTGAGGTTGGCTTTAGAAGATGACCCCTGGTTTTCATCTTCTGTAGTTGGACCCCACATAGCACTAAGCCCCCGAAGTTTCTGGATGCAGGTAGCTGGCAGGGAGAAAGCTGTGTGAGGTGACTGCCCCATGTAGTTGTCTGATTCCATAGCAGTGCTGAGAATAGAACTGTGACCTCTAGAACAGTAGTTCTTTTTGCTGACTTTGCCATCAATTTCTCTTTTCTCCCCTAAGTGGCTACCAGTAACTTCTTTTCTAAATATGTTGTGTTTTTGTTTTTGCTGATATGTTGAAGGTGATTACAGTTAATACTAAGTGTGAACATCTCATTAGTTTCCTGTTCATCGAAAATGCATTTCTCATCATTTACACTGTGATTGTCAGAATCTGCCTGAAATGCAGAAGATGAATTTAAACTTGAGTGTGCTGCTATGTATGTTTGCTTTTCCACTAGCAGATAGTAATCAGGTGCAGAAGACAGTTGCTTCAGTGAATTTGCAGATGTGCACTGATACTTGGCTAGATTTTGTTTTGACTTGTTTGCATAGAATTCATTATATTCATCGTTCACTTTATACTGACCCCCAACACCCGGCCCTCAAAAAGTATATTTTAGATGTCAGGAGTTTAAAAGCACTTACGTTTAGGGCTAGGGATTTAGCTCAGTGATGCCATGCCTGCCTCACAAGCACAGATCCCGAGTTTGATCCCCAGTACAAAAAAAAGGGAACTATATATAGTCTCTATTAAGAATGGAAGGGCTGGAGATTTAGCTCAGTGGTTTTGCTGCCCGCTGCGCAAGCGCAAGGACCAGAGTTCGATCCCCAGTACCAAAAAAAAATAAAAGAATAGAACTTTTTTAGGGCCAGGGATTTAGCTCAGTGGTTCCGCCTCCTGCCTCAGAAGCACAAGGACCCAAGTTCGATCCCCGGAACCAAAAAAAAAAGAAAAAAGAACATAACATTATAATCATCAGCCTTAATAATCAGTGGGTCATGTCTGATTTCATAGTTAGATGAATTCTGTTGCTCTGTCTAGTTTTTTGTTATTAGCAATCATGTTGTTCTTCAGGCCATCAGTGGTCTCTTCAAAGCTGGTGATTTCATGGGTTGCCATGGCAGATTATTTCTTCCCTGTGCCTCTTTGTCAGTAGCTACTTTTTAGATTAAGTACAAACATTTCATCAGGGAGAAATTATACTTTCATATTTATTATGTATGATATAAATTGCATATCATTTAAATTATTAATAAACTTGAAAAATACTCATCATCCATAAAGAAATAGATATTTAAATGAAGCATTATATTTTCAACATCAAAATACAAAAGTTTTAGGATTTATAATACCTTCTCTTGGCAAAGTAGTGGAAAACTAACTCCCCTATACTGTAAGAATGTAGACACTCTGATACTATAGTTTAAATCTATCAACCCATACCATTTCTGTTTCTGGATGCTTGACATATTCATTCAGATATGACATTTTACCTTTTATAAATAAATCCTACCCACTCTTTGGAGAGCCCCTAACCACATGAAGTTGAGAATGTTATCAAAGATAACAATCCAGAGTCTAAGTATGTAGCATGTACCAGAAAGCCTATTCCACATTCTTTGAGGTCTCAGACACACTATTAAAGCCTTAAACTAGCAGTCCAGAAAATTCTGTGTTCTTCTGTTAAGATATTTCTACCATTTGTGGTGTACCTACAGGGTACTACTACAGTACCCTAACTTTCAGTATTTGGGGAGTATAGCATTGTTAAGACCAGTAGCGTAGAGCTTGGGCTTTCAAGTCTTCCTCTGTGTTTAAATTCTGCCTCTCTCCCCCAAACAAGAACAATCCTCCCATGGTATCTGTGGGAGATTGGATCCAGGACTCCAAGAAGATACCCAAACCTACAGATCCCCAAGTCCCTTATACCATACAAAATGGTATAATACTTGGATTTCACCTACAAATATTCTCCCATATACTTTTAATCATCTCTAGATCACTTATAATACTTAATACAATGTAAAGTCTTCATGTTCAGAATAGATGCAATTTTTTTTCAAATATTTCCAGTCTGGGATTGGTTGAGTCCATGGATGCAAACTAAAGATATAGAGGGCCTGTAGGTTTTCATATCCTGATCTCTAAGATACAAAGTAGTAATCTACCATACTGGGTTGTTGAAAAGATTAGCAATAATGTATGCAAAACACCTCAGCAGTAGTGACCTATCAAACAGTGATCTACTTAAAAGTAATTTTCAAGAGTCTAACACAGATTTGAAACATTTTTATTCTCTGCATAGTACAGTCATGGAATCTCTCAATCTCCAAAATATGTCCTCCACGGAGAGCAGGTCTCTTATAGGATACACACATGGCTACCATATGCCTCGGAACAACTCCATCTCTGGTTTTTCCTGTGCATCTTTTTTTCTTCCTCTTCCTTCTCTCTGCATTCAGAAGTCACTTCCCCAAGTCTTAAGGCCCTTTTATAGGTAGTCCTTGCAACATGGGAGTTGAGTTCTGTTTTGTCCTCTTTCAACAATTGCTGCCATTTGCTGGCGGTTTTCTGTTTCTTCATAGTTTTCCATTTCCCTGCCAGTTAGCTCTTGTTATTAATTGGCTTATATTAAAAACAGGGGCAGGTCAGTTTGCTGGAGATAGGAAAATGTTGAAAAACACCGCAAATAAAACAAAAGCTAAATAAGCAGCAATTGCTATCCAAAACCGTGGATCTTTTAGCAGTGCTTTATCAAAGCAGCTAAACACAGTGTAACCTATAGACATTCCAGCAAATCCACCTGCAATGTGAGCTGCAAATGACACCTTTAAAAAAAGAGAGAAAATAGTAATTAGTGAAGAAAATGCTAATTGCATATTTCTGTTACATCTCCCTTACTCAAACACAAATATCATCATAAACAAGAGCTTAAAAGCCTGGAGAACTAGAAAAGTAACAAAAAAGACTCTATGTGCACAGAGAAGAGATGTTCTAATCTGTGCAAAGCTAAAAAACCCATTTTCACCCACTCTTAGAACATAAGTCAGAGTCATTGTTTCTCATTCTTTTTGATCATCATTGCATTTAGGATTGGGCCAGGGATTTAGCTCAGTGGTTCCACCACCTGCCTCACAAGCGCAAGGTCCCAAGTTCAATCCCCAGTACCAAAAAAAAAAAAAAAAATTCATTTAGGATGGTTCTGGATAAAACCAGCCAAAGGAATAGGAGTTGACTGATAAGGGATCCCACAAGGAACATCCTACAGAAATGGGATCCAGGATTAAAATACAAGTAAGAGCAAACTCCAAATTCAAAGATTGATCCCAGAAAAACTGACAATCTTTGATCAGTTCTATGTTATAAACTCAAACGGACCCAAATTTCCACTGCTATATTTCTGTCTGCTTTTGATTCTCTGTGGAGAAGGGAATCTCTACTGTTTTCTTCTGGAACGGCTACCGATGCAGTAGGTGTAGCAATGAAAGAGCCAAGTGAGAAGGACAATCCAAAAGTCAGATTTGATGAGCTGGGGGTTTAGCTTGGTGGTTTTGCTGCCTGCTGCACAAGCACAAGGACCGGAGTTCGATCCCCGGTACCAACAAAAAAAAAGTCAGATTTGCTTAGGAATTTTCTTAATTTCCAAACTGATATTCAACTACCCTAAATCACAAATAATCTGTATTTGATAACCCTTTTAATAAGTAGGCAGATTTTTTTATTTCAAGAAAAGAAACTGAACTCACCGGAGACCCATTTTCAGGGACAAAGAACCTCCTGTAAAGAGCAAATCCCATGTCCGATGCAACTAGAAGGAAAAAAACCCTGATTAAGCACCAGAATTTTTACCACTATGCCCCAAATGTTTTGGAGTCCCTGTAATAATCACAGGCAGCCATAGTTGAGTTTTACTGTGTGTTCTAAGAGCTCTGTAATTCATTAACTCATTAATCCTCACAACAACCTTATGAAGTAGGTACTATCATTATACTATTTTATGGATTTATTCGTCCAAAAATTACTTATGGATTCGCATCTCAGTGGAAGGCACCATTCTAGTTGGTAGATGTACAACAACAAGCAGATCACAGCGACCTCCCCTGTGAAGCTGATGGTGTAGTTGGGGAGCAAACAAAGCACACAGTATGTCAAATAGTGCTAAGTGCTATGCAGAAAATAGAGAGGATAAAGAATTGGGAATGCCTGAGGTGGGATGTGAGTTTTTATTTTATTTTGGTTTGGGGGTTTTGTTTTTGTTTTTCTGAAACAGGGTCTCACTATGTAGCCCAGGCTGGCCTCGAACTCACAGTGATCCTCCAGCCTCAGCTTCCTGAATGCTGGGATGACAGGCATGCACCACCACACCTGGCTGGGTGTGATTTTTAATAGGAGAACTAAGGAAGATCTCCTGAGAATGTGACCTTGAGGATGGTAAGGGAGCAAGCACAAAGTCCCTTCCTTAGTCAGGAGCCTCCCTGGTGTGTTGGAAGACACCAGTGAAGGTGACCTGCTTCTCAAAATGCAGCTCTCCCCAAGACTAGCAACATCAGCATCACAAGAGGACTTAAGTAGAAATGAAAGTTCTCAGGCCCACCCAAACCTACAAGCCAGAAACTGAGGAGGAGGCTCTGGTGGATCTGGACTAGTCAGGGATAAAGTGGCAGGTGATGAGATAAGACATCTCGAAGAGGCTAAATTACATAGAGGTTTTATGGGCCACTCTACGGACTTGGACTTTTATTCCAAGTTTCAGGAAGCTTTTGAAAGTTTTTGAGCACAGGAGTGATAAAATCTAACTGGTGTTTTATAAAGATCATTCTGGCCACTCTACAAGAAATAGACTACAAGGGAAGAACAGGAGCAGGAACAGGGTTGATGGTGCATGGCTGTAATCCCAATTGCTCAGGAGGCTGAGGCAGGAGGATCACAAATTTAAGGCCTGCCTGTACAACACAGTAAAACACTGTTCTTTAAAAAGGCTGAGGCAGGAGGATCACTGCAAGTTCAAGGCCAGCCTGGGCTACACAGTGAGTTCAAGGCTAGCTTGAACTACATAATGAGATCCTGTCTCAAAACAAAAAGTCTTCAGGACAATTAGCATTTCAGTTTCTCCATCCCATTTCACTCTTGTTTATCTTGGCCCTTCCTACATCTCTGCTTGGTTCATCCTGCTTCCTAGGGGCGATTCCTCCTGGGTTGCTGCAGTCTTCATACTGAGACATCTTCTCACCTAAAAAGAGGCTCTTTTTCCAATAAACCAAATCACTGTCCCCATGAAAAATTTGACAGACATCTTAAAAGAGATGATTTTATATGAATTTTTTTTTTGGTACCGGGGATCGAACTCGGGTCCTTGCGCTTGCGCAGCCGGCGGCAAAACCACTGAGCTAAATCCCCAGCCCTATATGAATTATTTTAAAGAATAAAAATATAAAATCTCCTTAACTTTTCCCCCAAGGGAAGCTTAGTTGCATAATTAGAAATTACATCCCATAAATAACGCTTGATGAAGGAAGGTCCTTAAGACCAATCATCCTTCACAAATAAGAATGTTTACCATTTAAAACAAAATTGTATACATGTTTCCAAGGAAATATGTATCAAATTGATATGTATTCCTTAGTTTATATTTTATTAATGTGGTATATGTTTTAATTCTCATTTTCAGGCCAAAGAACTTTTAGAAATATGCCAGAAACTGGGGAAAGTTAACAGCATATCCTACTAACTTTAACTTGGTAAGATGTCATAGGATACAATAAAAAGACATCACTGGGTTGGGGATGTAGCACAGTGGTACAGCACTTACCTGGGCATGTACAAAGCCCTGGGTTCAATCCCCAGTGCAAGAAAAAGAAAAAGAAGAGGTGCTGGGCGTGGTGGGGCACACCTGTGATCCCAGCACTCAGAAGGCTGAGGTAGGAGGATCACCATGAGTTTCAGGCCAGCCTGGGCTACATAGTGAGTTCAAGGCTGGTCAGTACTACATAGCAAAACCCTGGCTCAAAAAAAAAAAAAAAAAGGAGGCGGAGGAGGAGGACAGGTGTACATCATTCCCTGATTTTAGTACTTGGCTCACATATTACATAGATATTTTGAGTTTCTCACGTAAGATAAACCATGCAATATTTAAGCATGTGTACTACTAGTTTCTCTTTGTTCATTGTAAAGAAAGTTTTGTCCTTTTGTTTGTTTCTTCTTTGTAAGAGAGTCTTGTTTGTCTATGACTTGTACTCTGAGAGTGACACTTTGGCCATTCTTTTAAGATCATGATACACAGTGTATTAACTATTGTTATTCTCTCATTATTTTGTTATGAAACTTTGTTTTGTTTTCTCATAGAATCAGAAGTTTTTCATAGAAGTTTTTATACATTCTTTAATGTCTACTGGTATTACATTAAAATAAAATAAAAGCTGAAAAAAGAATTATATAGATATCCTATGCATGAGGAAAGGGTTTCTACTCCACAATTGAAGAGTATTAAAGAACAGCATAAACCATTTCCCTACTACTGATATGAGGTTTATTCTACAAGTTTATTTATAATTACATAAAACCAGCAGATTCACTGAAGACCTAGATACCTGTATCTATCTGTGCTCTCGCTCTTGACTGAACCCAGGGCCTTCACAGTGAGATATGTCCTTTGAACTCACCATCCTCTTGCCTCAGTTCCCCACCAGTTGTGATTCTTAACACCTCAAGAGGCAGCTCTGCTCCCACAGCAGCCCTCCTGGTTCCCAGAGACTCACTCTCCCTTCTCTGCCCACAATTGTCCCTTACCTTTTGTACTTCTTGTGGACAAAGAACTATCTGCAATATATTATAGACTATAAACAAGGAGTTCTTTTAGCTCAGAGAGAAATATTGGTCTTTCCAGTTAAATGGTTCACACTCTTATCTCTTTCAAAAGAATAGTTAGTTGCTCCTGGTATCATAATATGGATGACTGGAAAGCTTGACACCAAAAGCCATGGGCTTTATCAAGTGTTACCTCTGCCTTGGCTTTCAAGTCTGACCTGAAGGTCTGTCCTGTCCCTGCAGCCTCCTGTGGGCACAGCTCTACCTGAAACAGATCCCTAAACTCAAGTTACCACCCATGCCTTTGCCCTTGTTCTTCTACCTCAAACGGCCTGCCCTCACCCACAGTCTGTTGCTGCTTTCAGACTCAGCTACATCCCAGCCTCTCTTCAAAGTGAGCATCCTGTCTCCCTGCTCCGGCATGATTCTAGAATTCATGGAAATTTCAAAAACCAAGTTACCCTTCTAGTTTCTGAACTTTGGTTTCTTGTCTTCAATTCCTAGCCACCACTCATTGCTTATATCCTAGATCAGTTTGCTTTTTTAATCTGAAAATTTAGAAATTGTGGAAGAAGATAGATTATCTCAGTGTTTGCAAGCTTTCCTTTTCTAGATAAAAATCATATACAGATTCCAGTTTCTGAAAGAGAAAGTCCAGTATATAAAACATAAGTGAAGCTTTTGTGGGCAGAGTGGAAGGGCCCTCATGGCTCCTCCGACTCTAGAAAAAAATAGCAGAAATGTATCAGCAAGGTACCTCTCAGAACAACCCCAACGGGCTGTAAAAAGCCCTCTAACTACCTTTTTCTGCCTCAGACTGTGACACCAACAGTTCTTTCTGACTCTAGGCTGACAGTCACCCCCTATGTTAGTGTTTGGGAAATATGAAAAGGCCTTCTAAAGATTGCACCAGGAAAACTGAAAGAGTAGAGTGTCCACAAAACTCACTTACTTATAAGGATGATGATCAGTAGTCTGACAATTCCAAAGGCAGGAATCATTTCTCGAAAATTCTTGCAAAGAGATAAATAAGAATTATATTAGCTATCTATTGCCAAATGAAACTTCAACCCCACTCCCTCTTCACCTGGGTTTTTATTTAAAACAATGTTTGAGTGTCAAATATTTGCAAAACAAAGCATGGGTATAACTGCTGAGTTTTCAAACATACCTGGGAAGTAGAATGTGAATGTACTTTGGACAACAAAATGGACTGCGATGTTTAATTCCATGTTATAAACTAGATACAATTTCATTAACTAGAAATTAAATATAAGTAATGTAAAATCAACACTTAACATGTCAATAGATGAATAGAAAGGTAGATAAATAAGTATTATCAAACTAAGGCTGATAAAATACTTCTAAGCTTTTTTGGTTACTATTCACTTGCTACTTCTTCATCCTCTTCCCAGTAGTAGTTAGCAAAGACTCAACTAAAATGTATTAATTTATTTTTTTAAAGATAATTTCAGAAGGGCCCAGGGATTTAGCTCAGCGGCACTGTGCCTGCCTCACAAGCGCAAGATCCTGAGTTCAATCCCCAGTGTTGGGAGCAATGCTACATAATTCTAGGGAAAAATCATTTGAGTAGGCCTAGTTCTCCTGCCTACAGGCCAGCTA